AACCAAAAGGAAGGCATATGTCATACATTTTAAAGAAATTTTTTTAAAAATTAAGTTTAATGCTTTATTATTTCTTGTTGTAGAGAATCCCCAAGTCTCTTCATTGTAGTAATTTCCTTTCAATTTCTCCTCAGATGCTAAGCTCAAGCACAGTGGAAGGCATGGAAAGAATATTGAAAGTCACCTTAAATTGCTAATTTTGTTTCAAAAATTGTCCTCTCCACAGAATGTTGGCTGTGGGTTAAATTAATGTAAATTATTAATCAGAAAATCAGCTGTGTACCTTGATAGAGCAGGAGAAAAATAGATTTATGTCAAACATCCAAGTAAACTCTCCTAATTCTTAGAAATAAGTGAATAAAAAGAATCAGAAGGCTGTGTTGTTGAAGAAAGGTGGTAAAATTTTTTTCATGAATATGCTGAGGATGAAGAACATAAAAGATGTGGTCAAAACTACATGTATAATTAAATAATAACCCCCAAAGTACTTACATTGATTCAGGGAGATACACATGGAATAAATTTTGCTTGAGAGATTATTCTGAATTTTATGTAGAGTGCTTCTGCTATAAGTGACTATTCAATGCAGGTGGAAAACAATACAAACCTGCCTTAAAGATTCAGGGAAGGGTGACCATGATCATGGAATAGAAGTGAACATGACAGTACTTATGGGAAAATATTTAAGACTTTGACAACCAACCACTTAATACAGGGTGACCATTTAATATGGTGCCACTTACATGTAATATGACAGGTTTGACTGTACCTGTCACAAATTAGTTTAGTTGTGGCCTAACTTAGTATCATAAGTTCCAGGGGTCAATCCCTTGTGAGGAACTGAGATTATTTCCCTTCTTTGCCCTTGTGACAAGACAATTAACAAGTTTTATTTAAGAAAGAGATTCTCGTTCAGTTAAGTCACTTTTAGTTTCCTTTTTTACAACTTACTTACCAGTCAACCTAAAAAATTGCAGAGGATAAGTGAAGAGCAAGACCCATTCAGGTAAAGATCAGTTTTCAATTTAGAGACACTTTCATCCCCAAAATCATTCTTTGCCAAAGACAAAATTATATATCAATATTAATCACAAAAGAAATAAATAAAATCAGGAAGATACAATTAGAACAATCAGAATTTGATAATCATCAAACTTGAGCAATCTTTATTTTCTGTTCTTGGTTTTGCTTCTACACTGATAATTGAAAAAGTAACTAAACCTCACTGGTTGCTTGTGATAAAATAATTTGACACTCAATGAAAAATTTCATTTTACCTTGTGTTAATAGCTAGCTTCTATAGATACAAAAGTGCATTGGCATAATTTTTGAAATTTAGAATACTATTATTAATACTAAACACTAACAGTAATTCTATAAATGTGTGAGGAAATCATTATAAAAAGTTCCTGTAACCTTTTGGGAATCTAAGATAGACTAAAGAGTGAGTTGATCTCTTTTTTTGTTTAGTTGATTTTAAAATAGCGCTAAGCAAAAAGCAATTAAATGTTTCTTGAGATATGTTTCAGATTTTTTAAAGGTGTTATGGTATATAATTTCACCCTGCAAAAAAATATGACATAGTGAGGCAGTGTGGCTGAGTGGTTTGACCATTTAACTCCCAGAAATGATTAACATGTATCTTCTCCCTATGATATCCATAGGTTTTCTAACAAATGGTTAGTGAGGATACTCAAACTTATCAGAGAGAAGTTTTTATCTTGATCTTACATCAAATTCTCTTCACTAATTTAGGAGGAATTGTGTAGCAATTAGAGGAGAGAATTAACAATCAGATCTTGGGAGTTAACCCTTTAACTCCCAAGATCCCATTAGTAATTCTCTTTACTAGGTAGTTGGTAGGTGATGGTAGTTCAGAGAATTTAATACTGGATCAACTATTAATCTCCTAATTGATATTGTTCTTTATTCTCATCGCTTGTCTGCTTGATATTGTATTGACATTGTGAGGAGAAATTATGTCTTGGTCACTTGTGGGAGTTAAAGGGTTAAGGCACTGGTCTTGTAATCAGCTGGTTCCAGGTTCAAGCCCTCCACATTGCTGCTCATTGAGTTTGTTCTTGGTTGCCTTAAGGTCAAATCATTGGGCATGCTTCCTATTTTGGCCAACTGGTTTGCCTCTGGCCAGTTAAGATATTTAAAGGAATTACGGTCAACTCGCCGACGGACCAACTCGCCGACGCCAACTCGCCGACGTATAAAATCGAGTAGAGACGTCGGCGAGTTGGTCGTCAATCCAATACAACTTATTAGAAGTTAAACATACAAAAAATTTAACGATATTTAGTAAAAAAACACTGGTGAACATTGGTGAACATCAAACAGAAGCTTAAACATTGGTGAACATTGGTGAACATCACCAATGACTAGAACAGCTTAAGACGCGAACGAGTTATTGTGCGACAACAACACCATAAAGACTCATCATGTCAATCGCTCAGATTTTTTAACGAAAACTTGGCTTTCTAGACAATATCTTTAGTAAAAAGCATTTCTTTTTATTTGCAACAAAGTTTATAAGGATCTCAAGGCGAATAAAGCGAAGTAAACATCACCAATGACCCTAACAACTTCAAACGCGAACGAGTTATTGTGTGACAACAACACTGTAAAGACTCATCATGACAATCGGTCAGATTTTTAAAGAAAACTTGGCTTTCTAGACAAGATCTTTAGTAAAAAGCAATTATTTTTAATTTGCAACGAAGTTTATAAGGATCTCAAGGCGAATAAAGTAAAGTAAACATCACCAATTACTATATCCGCTTCAGACGCGAACGAGTTATTGTGTGACAACAACACCGTAAAGACTCATCATGTCAATCGCTCAGATTTTTTAAGAAAACATGTTCACCAATGTTCACCGATGTTTAAGCTTCTGTGTTTTTTTCCAAAATATCGTTTACTTTTCTGTATGTTTAACTTCTAATAAGTTGTATTGGATTGACGACCAACTCGCCGACGTCTCTACTCGATTTTATACGTCGGCGAGTTGGTGTCGGCGAGTTGGTCCGTCGGCGAGTTGACTGGTTACCATTTAAAGTCCAAGTTTACAGTTTTCATTTACAATTTGTTTCTATTGGCCCTAAAAAGCCCCAATAAGGGAAAGGTCAATTTGAGTTATTATTGATGTTAATTATACACTGGAAATAATCCAGTGATATTTTCAGCTGAAGTGTTGTAGGGAAATTCCATAAGAAGAAGCCTGAAACAATTCAGGTTTTGATAGGGTTTGAATCCAAAGCTCTGTGAGTGTTCCTAGCACAAAGCCCCTCACCAGGGGCAAGCCAAGAATTACTTCATTAGTGGCAATCATTACCTGATCAAAACATGATTTATTCCATTTGTTGCTCAGACATTCCTGTATGGGAGCAAAGATCCCCCAACAATTTCCTAGCTTGTGACATGGGACTTCATAACTCATCTGTTTCAGTGCCCAACTGATATATGGAGGTACAGATTGGTACTCTGTCAAATCCTGATTTTTTTCAGGCTTCTTTAACTCCCTCATTTATAATTATGGAGGGTTGCCACAAACAGGGAGTTTCTGAAAATTTCTAGGAAGCTAATTAGTCATGTTATATGGTTTCTGGAGCAATCTAATGCAATGCTCTGTAACTCTCTAGAACATTCTTCTAAGTGTTGTATTACAATCTATAATGCTTAGAAAAAAGTTACTCAAATTGTGAGCTTCCAGAACATTCTAGAATGACTAATAAATGTACGTCAGTCACTTAAAATAATCTTTTCTTTCTCAAAAGACTGTCAACTGTTTGGAGAAACTAATGAAGGCTATTGTGGCTTGCTTTGGAAGTTGGCCTACAATCAGTCATACATACATACAAAAATACATACATACATACACTGATTGTACTCTCTGAACAGGTCTTTTTAGCAGCAATATTGAAAAATAAAATGCAAATTCTAAAGAATACAGAATCAAATGAATTAAAAATCATGGTCAAAATGTAAAAAAAAAAATTGCTACAATATTTGCTAATGTTAAATTAATAGCATTTCAGATGCTGTTTTTGTTTTAGAAGAGTTTGCCTAGAAGTTTGTCAACAGTCTCACAAGAGATTTTGAGATAACAGTGTTTACTGTGATTTTTATATTGGTGGTGATTGGGCTAATAGCCAGTAATGGACTGTTCTTGTTTTAATTTAACCTAATAACTAAGTTTCTTAAAGCAATTAAGGAAGGCTTTTGGAATGAAGTGATCATGAAGCAATTTGTTGTGAAGTAAAAGTATAGAGGGCTTTAGCCTCAATGCCCAAGACATTGATCAAGTATATTTTAACTTAAAATATCTGAGTAATCCCTTCAATCACAAGCACATAACCTTGGCTATCAGTCTTCTGTTTCACTTTATGTAGATTCTGTCTTAAAACTCCATAATGTTAAAGAAAACAATAATATAAAAGTATTTTAAGAAGAGGAAGTATTTAAACTACTTTTATGAAACTAACTTATGAACCTAGCTAAGAGGAATAGCAGCAAATAAAATCCTCAAAGGAAAATTGTGATGCTATTCCTAAAAGTCCATACAAATTCCCCACCCTTCCCCCTCCCCCATCAAAATAGAAATCAGCGACAAAACTTAACTGTCTACTACCTGATATTTACAATAAATGCAATTGATCTGGTAAATGAAATTGGTAAATTACTTCAGTAAAACAAGGAAATGTAAAGAAATGAGTCAGATCCTTGGATAGAACTTGGTGTACATTATGGTGATTACCTGCTATATTATTATTACACCGTTATTAACGCATGATTAGAAAACTCTAGAACAACAGTGTAATTCCAAAAAAACCAAAACCTAACATAATCTTTAAAGAATCTAAATTAAAGCCAGGTACATTTTGGAAATTTTAATTCAAAAAGGAAATGGGAAATTGACCTCTTCGTAAGAATGAATTCAACCAAAAAAATTAGCGAACAATTTGGAACAACAAGAAAACATCAAAAACAGCAGTTTATAAAACGACTACTTTGCTATTTTCATATTGGCTTGCAACAACAACAATGCGTCCGTCATTGTTCAGTGTAATCCCTTTTACTTGATAGAACACATGTTGGATTTGTACACTACGAACAAACTTACCATCTTTGCTGTATATTTTAACCTCCAGGAGGTTTCTATCTGGTTCTTTACCAGCGACGACGACATGTTCACCTGCTGGGTGAAATGTAATACTCGTGTAATAGAAGTAATTTCTTTGCACTTTAAACTGGTTCAAATAGTGGCCGTGTTCACTGAATATGTGGACAGAGAAATCTTCTTTGTCAAAAATATTAAGGAAGGAATCCTCATCAATGTCTAGTACTAAAACACGGCCATCATTAGCAACAGTGATGTCCTTTGCAGACTTCAATATTTCTTCTCCAAAACTGCGAACGAACGTTCCATTACTGTCATATTCCTCCACTGTTTTCCCGTACCTCAGTGTCACTACTTTCCCTGTATCACTGACTGACAGTCCTTTGTACGAATGCCAGCTCTCTCCCCTCAGACGAAACTTGCGATGCAGGGCAGCGGTTTTAGTAAGTTTATAAACCATGTAAGATAACCAAAGGTTCTCCAATGCGGTCAGCACAAAGATATTGTCGTTCGTGTCTGTGGCTACATCTAGAACATTGGGCATTGTATTGGTAGGGAGAATGAAATGTTTCACAAACTTACCGTTTCTGTCAAACACCTTCACGCAACCTCCACAATCTCCTATAATGAATTCTCCGCTGGAGTTAGTAGCGATACCTCTCGGGTCCTTCAGCTTGTGTTCCTCCTCACCCTCCCGACCAATTGACCTTGGTATTACACAACAGTGCTCCATGTCTCGTTGAAAAAGTACTTTGGTTACTCTTGCGTCGTACAATGGATTGATTTTGTTGTGTCCAATATCAACTGGGGACCAGGTATAAAAGTGTGTGTCTCCACCGAGTGTTCGCGTAACATCGTAGATAACACGATTCACGTGACAGACACTGGTGATGATTTCCCTTCTTTCCTCTTGACTGAACCAACCTCTTACTGCTTGAATGCCTGTCTTGAGCTGAACACCAATGTTATTCTGTACTGCTGGCAGAGAGTTTAGTTCCTTTACACACACTCCACATGGTCCCACTGCATCAGCGGGATTGTCTACTGTCTCTAATATGGTCGCCATGACTCGATACTTCATGGCCAGAATGCGGTCAGATGTTTTAAGGCCTTCATTTTTAAAGGCCCTTGTTGCTTCTTTTCGAGCATCTTTGAATCTTTCCTTTGCAGCGGAAAGCTTTCTCGTAGCAGATTCATCCAGGCCAGTAAGCTCTAACCTGCTGATTCCTTCAATAAGGGGAATTGTTTCATTGCAAGCTGCTTGTGCTGTTTCCGCGCCACACTCGCCTCTAGCATTTGCTATCTTAAACACTTCATACAACAACACAATTCCTTCCTCAAAGAAACTGATGCTCGCTTCTAAATCTTTCTTCGATAACGCGTCCAACTTTGACTTAATTTCGTCGATTTCCTTGACGATCAGGGAGTGGAATTTTTGATCTGTTACATCGCCATCTTTCAGAATCTCTGCGGCCTTATCTCTAACTTTGCTGACTAGCAAATCGATGGTGAATTTGAACGCTGTTGATACTATCGAGGACATAGCGGTTGAGTAAAGTTGAGGGTAAACTCGAAAACTTTTTATGAGCTAATAGAAATTGTGGTCTTTCTTATCTTTGCGCTCTGATCAAATTTCTTTTGGGAGGGGCTTAGATAAGATATCAGAATAGGTCTTCAATTTTAGCAACATAAAAACTGGATTCATTCGATGGGACCGGACTTCGTAATCTCCGGTTGGAATGAGCTTCAGCACCGCTGGTACTTCACGTTGTCACTTGCGATGCTTAACACGGACAGAGGTACAGCGAACTAACTTGATATTGATCAACACTATTGGGCTCAAGCGCACACAGTTAACGTTAATAAAGTTAACTGTCTGCACTTAAATTGTCATCTTGAAGAAAATAACGATTTGTATGGTAATAAGCAGTCGTATTCTTTATCCAAATATCTGAGCGATATGAGAGGGGTCTCCAATAGAGTTCTTCAACTCCGCGACCTCGATTAAAATTATCTCTCAATCCCGTAATCCCGACGGTTTATACCGTCATATGAGTTTTAAATGAAACAAACTCCTTACTATTATTGGGCGGGTTTGTAGACTGTTTTACAGCCGCCTTGCTCGTTTTTAGTACCCTTGACTTTTTCTCTCGGATCGTGTAGACTCATTGTACGAACTTGGGCTACCGCCGTAGCCTGTGTTGTCAGTTTACTCAATTCTGCTCTTTACCCGGCCGTAGGAAAACAGGGATTACCACATACACTTCTCTACTGAATTCTAAAGCCATTCTGGAGATTAGACTTATTACACAGTTAGACGTGGAATGGGAAACTGTTAACATATCCGAAAAGGAAACACATAAAGTTCGTGTCAGATTTTGGTGTTTGCCTTTGTTGTTGGAGTTTTAGTTGTTGCTGTTTTTTTTCTCTCAAAACTTTTCAATTATTTAACACAGAGGGCTTTCAGGAAATAAGATTTTGACCATCCACGCTCTTAAGGAATACTTTCAAATTTTTTGCCATGAATTACTTCTTTTGCCTTCTTCACTTTTATTGTAGTAACGTATCCATACGTCTGACGTTAGTCCCGGCCGTTCCAAATTTCCTCCTTTCACCTTAAGGTTATACCTAACGAAATTCTTGCCAGCATGATTGAAAGAAAAGCAACATGTCTCTGCTTGTTTCAAATAAACAGGATACATGATTACTAAAACAGCTGTTGACCACTAAAATGTCTTTCTCTAGTTTCACCTGTTCTCAGTTGTTCGAACATATCTTAGCAAGTTAAATGTTTGAAACTGATTCTTTTGCACTTGTAGAAGCAAATATTATCGAAGTATCTTGTAAACTCATAATCGTTTATTCAGCTTTACTATGTTATTATTGAACTAATGTGATCTTAGTCTGTAAAAAAAATGATGAGCTTTGAAAGTCTGTATATTCCTGTAATCAGCTGGAGTTTAAGTTTGTTGATGAATTACCACATTCCAGTGATTTCTTTACAAATTTGTGATGGGGACGGACTGAAAGCAAGCTATAATCACATGACAATGTGAGTCATTTCTCAAGGCATTTCCAAAATAACGAGACATGGTGAAAATTTTCTAATTTCCTCGTGCGGACGTGCTTAGTTTGTTTAGCGACTTTGCTTCGGGACCCACACGAAAGTTCTTTTTTCGACTGACCCAGTCAGAAGTTGACCCGGTTGATCGGAAGCATTAAGACTAAATACTTTGTTGTTCGTCAAATTGTTTGGTTTAGCGTTCTAACAACAAATGTTTGATCTCCCAAGGTCAGCCAGCTGGCTTGCCCACACGTATCTGACAGTAGTGAATATATATAAGCATGTTCTTTAGCGTTTACTTAAAAGAGAGTGGAAGAATGTAAACAGAGTGCAGTCGAGTAGAGTCAAAATTCCGCAGTTGGAGACGAAGTATCTGGTGAGATTTAAAGCATGAGAGCCTAAGAGATTAACCAGAGCTTTACATAATGAAATAAGCTTGGATGTAAGTGGAATTGTGTTCTGGGAAACCGAGCAATCAAAGAAAGCAGAAAAAGACAGTTCGAGAGTCTGAGTGCCTTTCACCGGGCGTGATGTGCTCGATAGCTAATTCCCCCGATATTTAATAGTATAACATACTTGGCGGAGGATTTAGTCGTAATAAACATTAAGGAAAGAAAAAAAGGCTAAGAAAATGGCCAAAAACGTTTCTATTTTCTGTTTACGTATTTACTCGGGACCGGTAAGGTATTTTTTTCTTTTTTGGGAAAGTGAAATAAAACGCTCTGTCACATTCATTCATGGAGTGTAAGGTTATTTCCTATTCGAGGCTCGGTTTCTCTTGCTATCAACAGAAAAAAAGACTTGAATAAAGTAATGCAACGATCTTCAAAAGTAAGCTGCAGTTTAACCCTTAACACCCTAACATCAGTATAAATATTCTCCTTACCGTTTCCCATACATTTCCTAAGCTGCTAACAAGGAGATTTGTTTAACAATCAAGAGCTCCATTAGTTGGTGATCATTTCCTTTATTCTCGTGACCTTAATGTGTGATTCAGGGGTGATATTGTAAGGAGAAATTAAATGTTAGTCACTCTTACGGGGTCGAAGGGTTAAATAAAAACGAAACGTACTTGTAATATGCAGTTGTGTTATCAGGATTGAGAAGGGGTCTTTGTGATATGACTTCGAGCTACGGAAAACTCTTCGAGACAAATTTTTGGTACTTAACTTTGGGTATGAATTTTCAATCTTATTTATAACAGAGCTAATAAATTTGTTTAATCAAATTCAATTGCGCGAGCACGCTTCATGTTCCTATTGTGCACGCTCATGACGTCAGGAAACAAATCCCTCGAGAGAAAAAAATTTCCATCGGTTTGAAAATGTTATAAAACAATTTGTTCATACGTCAGCTGCGCGTTCATCGAGATATGAAGCATCTTTCATGATCTCCAAACTTCCCGCGTGCTTCATATCTCGACGAACGCACGCTGACGTATGAATATTCCATTTTGAAGTTGCGTGCTTGGTTGCCAAGCCTTTGAACAGGAATGGCCAAGGGTGACCTTGTTATGATACCAACGTTGCTTCTTTTCAAATGTATATTACTTTGTTATCATGCGAACTAGATACTGGTCTCTATTACATCAAGGTCACCTTCAGCTTCAGTCCTAATCAAAAGCTTGGCAACTAAGTTACATAGCTGTAAAATGACCGATGGAGGTTTTTCCGAGACCGTAGTTGTGACTAAGGGCTAACGCTCGAGACGACAGCTTTGAAATTCTTTACTATAGCCAATTTACGTTATCAGTTCAGTTGATAATACCCATATTCAGAGATGCCAATCTCTGGAGATCTCAAATCTTGAGACTTTTTTCCGGACCAGTACCCCCCCCCTCCCCTCGACCGGATTTGCCAATGAGACCCACCCCGAAAAATTTTTTCTGATTCGGACTCTCTATCCCCTCCCCCCCGCCCCCCACCGATCAACTTCGAGGGAAAAACGTGGATCTATCTATCAGGGACTTCAAACAAGAAATTTTTCTTCTTTTTTTGTTTGCAACGAACAAAGTGCATCACGCAAGAAAATGAAGCCAGAAACCGTAATACAAGCATAAGAAGCCAGATGATTTTGAAATTTTGGAACACACGGAGACTAAATTGTAGTTTTTTGTGGGCAACTGATCCAAACTTCCTTTTATCCGAGAGTTTTGATCACCCGTGCGGGAGAGCGGGAGACTCCCGGACAATTCTGGAGAGTTGGCATATATGTAAATTACCCTGGTGAAACAGGTGACTACATACCATTGTTTTACTGTGCATATATAACTCTTCCATTCGTTGTCTCTAGTCATCATAATATATAACCGTTTACCTCCAAGATTTCAGTATGTTTTGTCAGCACTTACTGTCTTGTATTTCTTCGGATTCCAACTTTGAGAATTTGGTCTTCAATTAACCAGCATGCCACAACTGACCCTTTTTTCCTTGGACACTTCTTTGCTTTGGAATATTTGCTTTTTAAATAAGACATCCCACACACTTGCCTGCAGTAAGGGCTTCTTACCAAGGCAAGGTATTGTTACAAGCTCTGCAAAGCTTGTTTGATTTGTGGAGATGTTATGGAAAGACAACAAGAAATTTCTATTGCCCCACCCCCTCCCCTCTCCTCCTTTTTGATTATTGCCCACCCCCTTGGTAAATATTTCCTTCTTTCCAGAGCCTTCCACTGCTGAAAAAGTCAGAGGTGGCAGCTATAACTTTCACTAAGAAAATGCCTGTAAAAATCACGCCTGTTTTGCAGGTGAACTCCACCCATAAATAGCGAACCAAGAAGGAATATGCCATACATTTTTAAGAATTTTTTGTTAATAACCAACTTTAATGCTGTCTCACTTCTTGTTGTACAGAATCCACAAATCTCTTCATTGTAGTAATTTCCTTTCAATTCCTCCTCAGAAGTTAAGCTCAAGCACAGTGGAAGGCATGTAATTCTTATCATTGAAAGAATAATAATAGAATTGAATACTAGAATAGAAAATCACCTTTATTAGCTAATTTGTTTAAAATATGTCCCCTCCACATGATTTTAATATTAATTCCTAAAAATAAGTAAGTGAATAAAAAAGAATGGGAAGGCTGCGTTGTTGATTGCATGACTTCTAAGAGTGATTAGCATCTAATTCTCCTTACAATATCACCCCCTAAATCACACATCAAGGTCATGAGAATAAAGGAAACTATCACCAACTTAAGAAGCTCTTGATTGTTGAACAAATTCTCCTTGTCAGCACCTTAGGAATTGTATAGAGAATAGTTAGGAGAATATGCATACCAATATTAGGGTGTAAAGGGTTAAAGAAAGGTGGTAAAAGTTTTTTTTCATGAATATGCTGAGGATGAAGAACAAAAAAGTACACAAGATGTAGTCAAACCTGTATTAAGCAGTCACCCTTAGGGAATGGCAGCATGTCAAAGCTTAATACAAGTTGATGAGCAAATGACTTGCCCAATGTTTGTGTGTAAACTGCAATGTTGAGGTCATTTTTGAACTCAGAGTACTTACATTAATTTGGGGAGATATACATGGAATACATTATACCTGAGAAATTTTTCTTATTTTTATTTAATTAGTGGTTGTGCTATAAGTGACTATTCAATGCAGGTGGAAGATAATACAAACCTGCCTTTAAGATTCAGTAGGGGTGACCACGAACATGGAACGGAAGTGCAAATTACAGTTGTTAAGAGAAAATATTTGGGACTTTGACAACCAACCACCTAATACAGGATGACCACTTAATATAGTGCTACTTACATGTAAGACTGGTTTGACTGTACCTGTCACAAATGAACTTAATTGTGGCCTAACTTGACATCAGAAGTTCCAGGGGTCAATCCCTTGTGGGGGACTGTGGGGGACTGAGATTATTTCCCTTCTTTGCCCTTGTGACAAAACAATTAACAAGTTTTTATTTAAGAAAGAGATTCTTGATCATTTAAGTCACTATTAGTTTCCTTTTTTTTCAAGTTAATGACCAGTCAACCTTAAAGATTGCAGAGGATAAGATGAAGAGCAAGACTCATTAAGGTGAAGATCAGTTTTCAATTTGGAGAAAATTTCATCTCCAAAATCATTCTTAGCCAAAGACAAAATTATATATCAATATTAATCATAAAAGTAATTAATAAAATTAGGAAGATACAATTAAAACAATCAGAATTTCATAATCATCAATCTTGAGCAATCTTTATTTTCTGTTCTTGGTTTTGCTTTGACACTGATAGTTGAAAAAGCAACTAAACATCACTGGTTGATTGTGATAAAATAATTTTACACTCAATGAAATAATTATGTTTTATAATAGAAAGAGTTTATCTCGTTTTTTTTTTTAGTTTGATTTAAAAATAGCACTAAGGAAAAATAATATTATTAAAGGTACTATGGTATGTAATTTCATTCTGCGAAAAAAAATCACGACATAGTGAGGCAGTGTAGCTGAGTCGTTAACCCTTTAACCCCCAGAAGTGACCAACATGTATCTTCTTCCTATGATATCCATGTTTTCTAGCAAACAGTTTATGAGAATACTCAAACTTATCTGAAAGTTTTTATCTTGATCTAACACCAAATTCTTGTAACTAATTTACAAGGAATTGTGTAGCAACAAGAGGAGAGAATTAACAATCAGATCTTGGGAATTAAAGGATTAAGGCACTGGTCTTGTAATCAGATGGTTCCAGGTTCAAGCCTTCCACCCTGCTTCCCACTGAGTTTTTTCTTGGTTACGTTAAGGTCGAATAGTTGGCCGTGCTTCCTATTTTGGCCAACTGGTTTGCAGCTGGCCAGTTAAGATATTTTTAGTGTTTATTCACATTGTTCATTTAAAATGTGTTTGTATTGGCCCTGAAAAGCCCAATTCCACAAGAAGAAGCCTGAAACAATTCAGGCTTTGACAGGGTTTGAACCCATGTCTCTGTAAGTGTTCATAGTTGAGTGTTCTACCATCTGAGCTACAAAGCCACACACCAAGAGCAAGCCAAGAATCCCTCCATTAGTGGCAATCATCCCCAGACCAAAACGAGATCTATTCCATTTGTTGCTCATACATTCCTGTATGGGAGCAAAGACCCCACAATTACATTTTAGATGGTGACATATGACTTCATAGCTCATCTGTTTGAGTGCCCAACCAATATATGGACTCTGTCATAACCTGATTTATTCACACTTCTCCAACTTTGAGGATCACTCCCTAATTTGTAATTATAGAGGGCAGCTACATATAGGGAGTTTCTGGGAATTTCTTGAAGCCAACTAGTCATGTCATATGGATACTGGAGCAATGTAATGCAATGCTCTGTAACTTTCTAGAACATTCTTCTAAATGTTGTCTTACAATCTATAATGCTTAGGAAAATGTTAGTTATATTATAATATTAGCTTCCAAAACATTCTAAAATGACTAAAAAATGTACATAAGATGTCAGTCACTTAAAATAATATTTTCTGTCTCCAAAGACTTTCAACTGTTTGGAGAAGCTAAAGAAGGCTATTATGGTCTTCTATGAAAGTTGGCCTACAGTCATTCATACATACATACAAAAATACATACATACATACATTTATTGCACTCTCTGAACAGGTCTTTTCAGTAGCAATATTGAAAAATTAAATGCAAATTCTGAAGAATGCAAAACCAAATGAATCACACATCATTACCTTGAAATTTGTGGTCAAAATTAAAGAGAATAAGATTGCTACTAACAGTATTTCCTTATATTATGTTAAAACATTTCAAATACTGTTTTCGCTTTAGAAAAGTTTGTCTGGGAGTTTGTCAAGAGTTTCAAAAGAGATTTTGAGATAACAGTGTTTGACTGGAGTTTAAGCCAGTAATGGGCTGTTGTTGTTTTAATTTAACCTAATGATTAAGTCTCTTATGCAAGGCTTTTGGGATGAAGTGATCATAAAGTAATTTGTTGTGAGAAAAAAGTATAGAGGGCTTTAGCTTCAATGCCCAGGACATTGATCAAGTGTTTTTTCACTTACAATATTTAAGTAGTCCCTTCAATCACAAGCACAGCACCTTTGTTAAGGAAAACAATAATATAAAAATAATATAAAAGTATTCTATGAAAAGAAAGTATTCAAACTACTTTTATGAAACTAACTTATGAACCTGGCTAGAGGAATAGCAGCAAATAAATGCCATGAAGGAAAATTGTGATGTTATCCCTAAAAGGCCATACACATTCCCCACCCTCCCCCCTCCCCCATCAAAAGAGAAATTAGCAACAAAATTTAACTGTATACTATTTGATATTTACAATAAATACAAATTGATCTGGTGAACGAAATTGGTAAATTACTTCAGTAAAGCAAGAAAATGTTAAGAAAATGTAAAGAAATTAGTCAAACCCTTAGATAGGATTTGGTGATTACCAGCTATAAATTATTACACCGTTATTATTGAATGACTAGAAAACTCTTGAACAACAGTGCAATTCCAATAAAAAACAGAAACCTTACATAATCTTTAAAGAATCTACCAGTAGATTAAAGCCAGGTACATTTTTTAAATTTAATCTCAAAAAGGAAGTGGGAAACTGACTTCTTGAAAATTACAGTACCGCTCAGGGTACTGAGCAGGGTAGTCAGACGCGTATATACGATTTTTTGGTGCGTACGGTCGAAAAAAATGCGCGACTCGTGTGCCTTTGTTATTCAGTAACACAAGTTTCCTTTGTTTTACATTGTTGGGTGAAACAAAGAACTTTTAGGTTTGAAAAAGCAGCGAGAAGACAACAAAAAATTTACCTAATGAAAAAAGCTACCATGTTACACACGCATGTCCCGTCGCTTCGCGAATTTATTGAATAACGAGCAGTAGCAGTAGATTTGCTTAATATGAGTTGCTGATGAATCAGCTGGGAAGGAAAATGTCACTTACTCAAGTCATCGAAACGCATGTTTCATTGAGTGAGTAACGAAACAAATACTCACTAATATGCTTCAAAATTTATTCATTGCAATCAGCGCTCTCTAGGATGTTTACGTCGCGGAATGTAAACAATTTGGTGTCTGCATCGTACGTGATGATTTCTCCGAAACTTCGAACCTACCTCGATCACCTTCGATGAGGATCAGAAGCAAAATAAGGTAAATTTCCGCACAGCCCCAAACTTCATTATGCATGCACATCTTTGGTGCTACACTGAATGATAAAGCTCCATATATGGATGCAAAATGAAGTACGGCGCTGTGCGAAAATTTTGCCGGAAAATATCCTGTTTAAGATTGTGAATGATGTTCACTTTTACTCATTGCAATCGGCGCCCGCTTCAGTGTTTACGCACTGGAATGTAAACAGTTTCATTTCGCTCGTAATGATTTGTTTGATTGCGGAGCGCATAATGTTACAACGATGAAAGGTCAAATTAAAGTAAATCGCAATGTCAAAGACGAAAATGCACCTAAAAAAAACCGAAAACGCTTCCACAGACTACCGTTCAGTATCTTATTATGCAAGCGTCTGTCAATAACGTCTAAATATTTCAGAACAGACTCTAAAATCTGTCATCAACCCATGGTATTGATGTTTTGCCTAATTGTACGCGCCGGCGAGTCTTAAACAAACTTGAACTATGTGTATCCTGCTGTAAATTTTTCCGTTCCCGTTTTTCGAGCAATTTGGTGAACATCGATCAATGATTTGACAAATGTCGAAACAAAAAGCAAATCCGGTTTCTCTTAAAAATTTGCATACGAGTCAGAGCAAGAAGTAGTCGTGACAGGTAAGCATACTGTAACACAACACCATTAAAATAAGCGATTAGAGCTTATTAGTATTTGGATTAAATGGCAATATGAATGAACCAGTTTTCGAGAACAGCATTTTCACCGATGACAAAAGCTCTGAAATGAGCATTCGGACGTGGGTTTGCATTCAGAACGCGACAACTTGTTACAAACGGGTGCCTTAGCTGATTTTACCGAATTACGATATACTGAGACTAAATTTATTTTGAACAAATTCCCAAGCCAAAAAAAATTAGCGAACAATTTGGAACAAGAAACAGCAGTTTATAAAACGACTACTTTACCATTTTTTAAATTTGTTGTAACAGCAGCAATGCGTCCATCATTGTTCATTGCAATCCCTCTTACTTCAAAGAACTCGTCACAATTTTGGATTTGTACACTACGAACAAACTCACCATCTTTGCTCAATATTTTAACCTCCAGGAGGTTTCTGTTTAAGTCTATACCAGCGACGACGACATGTTCACCTGCTGGTTGAAATGTGATGCTCGTGTACTTAAAGAAACTTCTTTTCAGTTTGAACTTGTTCAGATAGTCGCCGTGTTCACTGAATATGTGAACAACCAAATCTGCTTTGAGAGTATCGCTACGGGAGGGATCATCATTGTCCAATACTAAAATACGGCCATCGTTAGCAACAGTGATATCCACGGCATACCTCAATATTTCTTCTCCAAAACTGCGAACAAATTCTCCATTACTGTCATATTCCTCTACTGCCGTCCCGACGATGGTGTTACACAACAGTGCTCCATGCCATGTTGAAGAAGTACTTTGGTTACTCTTGCGTCATACAGTGGATTGAATTTGTTGTAACCAGTATCAACTGGAGGCCAGGTCCAAAGGTGTGTGTCTCCACCGAACGTTCGAGTGACATCGTAGATGACACGATTCACGTGACAAACACTGGAGATGACTTCCCTTCTTTCCTCTTTACTGAGCAAACCTTTCACTGCCTGAATGCCTTTCTTGAGCTGAACATGAAAGTTATTCTGTACTGCTGGCAGAGAGTTCAGTTCCTTTTAACACACTCTGCATGGTGCCAGTGCATTGTCCCCGCGGTTATTGCTATCGAGGACATAGCGGTTGAATGAAGTTGAGGTTAATCTCGGAAACTTTTTATGCGCCAATAGAAATTGTGATCTTTCTTATTCTTGCGCTCTGATCAAATGGGATAACCCAAAAGGACCTCGTTAAATATTCAAAACACTGACGTTATATGACGTCTCCAAAGAATAGTCCTCGCTCAACCGTGGAATCTCTGTGGCTCAGTGGTAGAGCTTCGGGGCGCGGAATCCGAAGGTCGGCTGTGACTAAAAGTGGGACGGGGACGTGGGACTGGGACTCGGGGACGTGGGACGCGCGGGGACTCGGGGACGTGATAATTTGTAAAGTATAATTTTCGGTGGTCTCGAGGAAGGTGTAATATGCTGGAGAGCTTGTCGGGTGACTCTACATCGAAGGCGTTCATCGAAGGTAAGAGTACACTGCGGGAAATAATGAAACCTGCGAATATTGCGAAAGCCCGTGAAAAGATGACATCTAAAAACTGAAGGCAATTTTTGAATAAGACACTAGAATGCGTAATGATGGCGGCGACCAATCAATCTTCTTTAAACAAATCGGAGATTGACTTCCTTGAGGAAAACCTTGAAAATTGTTCTGTTGAAAACCGGTACTTCGTGGGTTATTTCGATGGAAAGAGACGAGTTCGAGGATATGCTCGTGAGTTTTCTTATTAGTAGTTCCACATGTTTTGTAAAGAAGGCCTTGCACTCAAAGGACTTAAATCACAAGAGGTTTTCGAAAAATGGTGGGAAGTTTCTTTTATTTTTAACTGAATTTTTGCTTTTATCAATTCAGTGTGGGCCTCGTATAGACTCCATCTTTTGAAGGCAATTTTGTAAAAACTTACGCAATACACCGGGCGGAAAAGTGTTGAAATATTTAAAGGTATTTCATATAAGGGAAAGCACTTGGAAAACACTCTAAGTGCGTAATCTAGTATACCGAAATACTTTTTCAAATTATGCATTTGCAGCGTCTCCCGTCTTTGAACACAATGGTGGTAATGTACCGATCCAATTTTTCGGCAAACCGTTTACCATCTAAGCAATGAAACTCGGCATTGCCTCCACACACCAACAAAGATGAGAATTCCTTTTGAAAACAGTGTTTGAAATATAATAAAACGTACCAGTAGCATTCGATTTTTGCATAACCCGCGAAACTCTAGTGTTTTAATTTTTTAGGTATTTTAGTGGAGGAATCCATCGAACTTTCGCATACTGAGGAAACAAAATCGGGAAGGTCATTTACATCCATTTACTTCTGAATTCCCCATAAACGTAGGGTGTATACAATTCCTGAAATTCCCGTTCGTTATTTCACGAATCATTTGACGTTTCAGTGTTGACAAAGGGTCATTACTTTCCCTGTATCTCTGACCGCGATCGAAACAATAGCCTCTTGATCGATTTCTACTGAGGGGACCCGTGGTTCTAAAACAATTTTATTTTAACTGACGGTATGGTCCCCGGCGAGGCTCAGTTCGAAAAGGAGCTAGGGTTACCGAGCTGGTTTTCAACGGTCGTGTGTCAAGGTTGATGTGGCCGCGGGCTGTTAGAAACCTCTAAACCGGAAATTTTTGAAGCAAACTGCGGCTTAGTGTCGGTTGCACGGGGAAGATTGAGTTTTTAGTGAATTTTAATGAAACTACAGTATATGTGCTTGGATTCTGCGTTGGATTTGTGGGCGCCCGATCATTTTGAGCTTGGATTTTTCGCTTCTCGGATCAGGCGTTCGGAAATGGAGTGTTCAGCCTTGGGCTTTTCTTATGTACGTTGAAAACCTCGAAATAAACAACTTGCTTAAATGGGCTCTTTTCATCAAAGTAAGCGGTCAGATAACAAGCGACACACTGTGGAAGTAAGGTGAGGTTTTTTTTTTTTGAGAATTTGACGTATTTTTTATTCCTTAGAGCGGTCGTAAATATGCCCATACAAACTCTTATAATTCCGCCATGACTGTTATTGCGCAAGATGATCATCTCACAGCTGGAGCTTGGGCCGCCTGTGTTTGGAACGGCATTTTTAGCTTTTCCGAAGACATCAGTCTTGTCAAAATCGACTATAACAGAGGAGAAGCTGATCTTAAACATCGTTATTGCATTTTAGGTCATTGGGAACAAATTCACACGTATGAATATCGTCTTACGCGACTGCCGAGTTAGGACGGATAATAAAAGGTTAAAAATAGCCCTCAGGTATACGCTACCCAAGAGGTTATAGAAGAGATTAAAAATAACCCTCAGGTATACACTACCCAAGAGGGTATAGGAGAGATTAAGAATAACCCTCAGCAGGTATACACTACCCAAGAGGGTATGCAAGAGATTAAAAATAACCCTCAGGTATACACTACCCAAGAGGGTATAGAAGAGATTAAAAATAACCCTCAGGTATACACTACTATACACAAGAGGGTATGCAAGAGATTAAAAAAACCCTCAGGTGTACACTACCCAAGAGGGTATAGAAGATATTAAAAATTAATCCTCAGGTATACACTACTCAAGAGGGTATGCAAGAGATTTAAATAACCCTCAGGTATACAGTACCCAAGAGGGTATAGAAGATATTAAAAATTAATCCTCAGGTATACACTACTCAAGAGGGTATGCAAGAGATTTAAATAACCCTCAGGTATACAGTACCCAAGAGGGTATAGAAGATATTAAAAATTAATCCTCAGGTATACACCACCCAAGATGGCACGAAAAAGTGAATTCACACTTATTTATATCAGGAGACCGCTCTTTGTCTGGACTCTTTCTTCTGACTGAAAGTTGAGGCATCCACCATTAACTTATATAATTATTATCCTTTACTAGTTCCCGAATGTCTTTGTCAAGCTCGGCTATTCTTGACTGACATCATTGCAATTTCCCATGTGGCGCGCTTGAGCCCAACTGGCGGGACAGGGTGTATTGTGGTCATCGCGGAATCGACGAAACAATTCGTTCTTTGCAAAAGCTTTAAACAT